CGGTGTTGCCCCTGCTGTATGCACGGTACCCGGTGTTGCCCCTGCTGTATGCACGGTACCCGGTGTTGCCCCTGCTGTATGCACGGTACCCGGTGTTGCCCCTGCTGTATGCACGGTACCCGGTGTTGCCCCTGCTGTATGCACGGTACCCGGTGTTGCCCCTGCTGTATGCACGGTACCCGGTGTTGCCCCTGCTGTATGCACGGTACCCGGTGTTGCCCCTGCTGTATGCACGGTACCCGGTGTTGCCCCTGCTGTATGCACGGTACCCGGTGTTGCCCCTGCTGTATGCACGGTACCCGGTGTTGCCCCTGCTGTATGCACGGTACCCGGTGTTGCCCCTGCTGTATGCATGCCATGTGGTACCTTCGAGCTAGGACCACAGGACACGGGAGGCTCTGAATTTCACTAACATTTCCATTTCTTTACTTTTCTAAATCAAGTTAAAACGAATTCCAGCCCTCCCCAGTTAACAAAGATGACGAGAAAGTCCATCTCGGGCATGGTAGGTTGTCTGCACTGATTCCATGAAGACGTATTTTTAAAAATTAATCCTAACCAGAAGAGTGAGGATATTTTTTCCACTGACTTTTTTAGAAAGTGGAAGGAAAGGAGGGAGGGGGAGAGAGACACACAATGCTTCAGAGACACATCCACTGGTTGCCTTCCACACATGCGGGCGGGGGATTGTACCTGCAACCCTCCGGAGTGCAGGCCGAGGCTCTAACCACTGAGCGACTCTGGCCAGGGCCCGTGAGGATCTTCAAAGTGCACATCACTCAGGCCCAGGGAGCCCTTTGGTCCTCACGGTCACCAATCACCTTGCTGATGTCCACTATCCTCCCAGGCAAGTGGCTCAGAGCCTCCCTGCCAAGCTGGACCCAGCCCCAGCTGCCCGCAACGCACCAAACAGCCACACCCTCTGAGGTAAGGTAAGGAGCAAGGCCCACTCAAGGGGACGCCGAACTTCTAGGCCTTTTGTCCATCTTGGGGATGCACTCGGTCCCTCCCTCCAGGCGAGCCACTGTGGCCTTGTCCCTGTCCACTTCCCCGTCACTGTTTTCTCGCTCTTTGGAGAGCCCCTCATCATCTCTTTTCAAAGGATTTGGAAACAGTACTGGCTTCCCTCCCCTGAAGACAGGAGTGGGGGGAAGGCATGCTCAAACTAGTCCCCTTTTCTTTCTTTTCTGTTGACATAATTTGCTTCAAGGGTCTAGGGGAGAACCGTGCAGAGAATCAGGAGGTCTGGGTGAAATCTGAATCACAGAACTCCACATGGAGTTCTTCCAGGTCGTTCACTTGACACTTACTGCTCTGCCCCTGAATAAGTGCTCAGGGAAATCAGCTTGTGCTGTCACTCACAGACACAGAAACAGGGCCCAAGGAGGGACATCCAGCGACCCTTAAGTCCCTGCCAGTAGCAGACAGCAGAGCCTGGGGGACCCTGAGCAGCGAGAACAGAGTAAAGAAACTCACCCCACAGCAGCAATGGTCCTTCTCATTCTGTTTTTAAAAACAGGAGAGAGACAAAGAATCTTAAAAGCAGCAAGAGAAAAGCACTTAGTTACCTACAAGGGAGCTTCCATAAGGCTGTCCGCTGATTTCTCAACAGAGACCTTGCAGGCCGGAAAGCAGTGGCAGGAAATATTCAAAGTGAGGAAAAGCAAGAGCCTACAACCAAGACTACCCAGCACAGCCATCGTTTAGAATTGAAGCTACAGAGCTCCACAGATAAGAACAAGCCAAAGGAGTTTATCACCACCAGACCAGCATTACATGAAATGTTAAAGGGTCTTTATGAAGAGGAGAAAAAAAAAAATAGATAAAAAGTATGAACAATAAAATGGGCATACATACATATCCACCAACAACTGAATCTGAAAAAACAGAAGAGAAACTATAATACTTGTGTAATTAAAAATAAAATTACATGTGCATAAAACACTGGGTGTTTGCTAAGGTGGATGTTACAGGGCAGTCATGTCAATCCCATCTTGAGACGGTAACTTTCACAATTCAGATCTCACTAAGAAAAATGAGAAATACTATGGAAGGATCGCAATATATCTTTTACTGACATGGTAGAAATATCTAAATAGTTCCACTACATGTATTTTAACACGTCTCTGAGCACACTGTCAGTTTGAGACTAGGATGTGACACGAGAGAATGAGTTCGAGCAACACATGATATACATGAAGTACCCACACACAAGGAGGAGGGCAGAGACAGCCTGGATTTTGCAGGGTACCGTTTACTCGATGGAACTCTAAGAGAGTCAACCATGGATTTTAACAAACCAACAAAAGGAGGCTTTGGGAATACCTAGAAATTAAACCAAAGTTCCCGACTTTAAACTTCAGACTCACATTCTATATGTTATCAATGTTCTGGAGTCTTATATAGGTAGGTTACTGAAATTATAGCTTGCAGCTAACTTCTGTAGTGACTCTGGGATTCCAAAAAATAAAAGCTAATCTCTGATCTAGGAAGCATGTTTAACACATGCTTTTAAAGAGCATTCTCGTGAGGTTTGTTGCCATGGACCCAAATGCCTATTTATGCACTAACATGATAAAGTATCGTGGTGGCGGTGCTAGCTTGAACAGTCTAATTCAGCTAATGCGTCATCAGGTAGTGATGAAACAAGACACAATCATGATACCCGTCTAGAGAAGGCCAAAGGAAAGGTCACAGCCAGTGGATGCAAGCGACGTGTGGCACGATAGGACTCATTTGTGCAATGGACAGGCTATTCCGTCCGAATGGGCAACTTGTCATAATTAGTGCTTCACCTAAGCTAATTTCTATGAATGTACCACATTCACTACATAGGACAAAGTAGGCTTTCAACTCTTAGCTAAACATTTAGAAAAATTCTGTGCAGTACCGTACTAAACCCACGGTTAGATACTATTAGCAGGAGTTAGGCTCAACTGGCACTAAAAGTAGTTGGGAAAGTACTTATAATGTAGAGAGAGAGAGAGAGAGAGAGAGAGAGAGAGAGAGAGAGAGTNCCTGTTCCCCATTTCTGGGAGAATGGGGGGCTCATCGCCCACTTGTAAGTCAAAATAGACGGTCTTGTGAGAGAAGGTAGAAAACTCATTACTGAAGCAAAACTGATAAACACCCTTGACCTCAGCCTGGTAGGTGAAGCTGTCGTACTGCTTCTTGGTTTCCCTGTAGATGGTGTTCCCCAGGGGGTCCTCCACATAGCAGTCAACGTCATAGTGGCCTCCACTGATGACCTGGCAACCACAAAAGACACCCGCGGTCTGCGTTTACCAGAGGGCAACCACCACTCACTAAATGCCCACCAGGCACTGTGACTGGACTTCAGAAACGTGCCATTTAATGACCCTTCACAACCTTCTAAAGTGGGTGCTGAGACACTCCCATTTCACAGACGGTGACACGGGCTGAGAAGGGTTATGTAAGCTGGCTATGGTCCCACTGCTTGGAAAGACAAGGCTTAAGCTTTGAGTCCATGAGCCTCATCCTTCCCACTTGACAAAACAGGAAACAGGTCCGAGACTAAGTCACCTGCTGAGCAGGTCTAGTCGGTATTAATTTTATTACTGACAGACGAAAGAATAGGCAACTAGACAGCAAGCACTTGCAGAATCAGTGATACCAGAGGTGGGAGAGTTCTGGGGATAATTCTGTTCAAACTCTTAGGAAACAAAGTTACGACCCACACAGGTGGTCAGTGCTATACCCAAGACCCCTCAAAGCCTCTACCTGCTTCCAGCCTTTGGAATGTCCTCTTTGTCTAGATGGAAGAATCCGCTTTGTGAGCACTGATATTCCTGCTGCTGGGGTACTTAAAGCCAGATGGCCTCTCAGGCCTCTCCAGCCTCAAAAACAATCACTTTTTGGTGACTATACCCAGCTGCACCCTGTTAACTCAGCCACAATGTGTGTACAATGTCCACAGAGTTGTGAACGTGGCCAAATCTGGAACTCGGACACCAACCATCACACATGCACAAGCCTCTGTAGCCAGAGAGGGCCCATCAATGGGCCAGCCCACTGCTGCTGGGGCCACCTCATCTTTTGAGTGCCAGCCAGTCCAGGTGCAGGGGACTTTCCAGGTACATTCCACTCAGCCCCCCAAGCCTAGATCTGCTCACTAACCCTTAGGGGCAGGACCTGCTCCCCAAAACTGTGAGCCCTGAGCTCTCTCAAAAGAGCCAAAAGTATAAGCACAGGGGAACTTTTCTGAGCCAAACAGCAAAAGCCTTGTCTTGCAGTCACAACAGGGCTCCAAGGCTGCGCTGAGACACCCTTTCTAAAGCGCCCATTCCCATCCCTTCTGGGCTCACCCTGAGGACGACTTTAAACGCTGGGGGGAAGGGGAAGATAAAACCACGAACCCACTTCCTCTCGCTGCCGTTTTTCAGTGTGCCCGGGGACAGAGCCCGCGTCCAGCTGACCACAGGGGGCACTCCTTAGAGTCCTGGAGCCTGCAGGGGTTCTTCTGGCCAGCTCCCAGGGGTGCAGGGCCCGCCCCCGAACATCCCCATCCTGCGCAGCCCGCCCGGTGCCGGGCAACGCCTGGAGGCGGTGGAGCGAGGCCCCACCTGGTAGTCCAGGGAGAACCTGGCGCCCTGCTCCACGTCCTCGTGGAAGCACTGCTTGGCGCTGTCCGGCAGCTCGAAGGTGAGCTCGGCGCCCCACGGCCGCTCCGCCTGCAGCACGAGCAGCAGCAGCAGCAGGAGCAGCAGCTGCGGGGCGGACGCGGATCGCGGGGCCGCAGGGTCCATGGTGGTCCGCTCTGCAGATGCGACACAAAGAGAGGCTGCGCGGACAGACGTGGCGCTTCCGGGAGTGCTGCGGCCCAGTGCGCAGGCGCGGCAGAGGTGGGCGGGACCTACAGCGGCGCCCCGACGCCCACCGCCCGGCCCCCAGGCCCA